GGGGCGCCTGTCGCAGTTCCCGCCCTACGGGTTGGGCTCAGCGGCCGCCGCAGCGGCAGCGGCGTCCACGTCGGGCTTCAAGCACCCGTTCGCCATCGAGAACATCATCGGCCGGGACTACAAGGGCGTGCTGCAGGCCGGCGGGCTGCCCTTGGCGTCCGTCATGCACCACCTCGGTTACCCCGTGCCCGGCCAGCTTGGCAACGTGGTTAGCTCCGTGTGGCCGCACGTGGGCGTCATGGATTCGGTGGCTGCGGCCGCGGCGGCCGCCGCCGCGGCGGGGGTCCCCGTGGGCCCTGAGTACGGGGCCTTCGGGGTGCCGGTCAAGGCCCTGTGCCACTCGGCAAGCCAGAGCCTGCCTGCGGTGCCGGTGCCCATCAAGCCCACCCCCTCGCTGCCGCCGGTGGCCCCGCTGCCTCCGACTCTCACTGTCCCCGCGGCCGCGCAACAGCCGCCGGCGCCGTCCACCGTGTGCCCTGCGGCCGCGGCCTCGCCCGCCGCCTCCCTCCTGGAGCCCACCGCCCCGAGTGCGGCCGAGAGCAAGGGCAGCTCCCTGCACTCGGTGCTGGTGCACTCCTAGGGGACACGGCGCGCGGGGGAGACGAAGGCGTGCAGGGACTCCCGGCCCTGGACAGCCCCGGAGGGAGAAGGCTCCCCGAGGCTGGGCAGACCTGGCGAGCCTGAGCCTTTGCGGCAAAGGAAGGTCTTTGAACATAAAAACCCGAAAGCGGATTCTCCAGTGGTCTGAATAAATATAACACTTCTGGTGTCTGTGTTTATCTATGTTGTACAATCAGATTAATGAAAGGCAGTTTTCAGGTAAGAGTTTCTATTGTAATTAATATTGTAAGTCAATAAGTTATGGGGGGGGAGGGAGCGAAGGAGTTTGGGGAAGCCTCATTCGCTGGCAAATTGGAAATGGATTTAGACCCTCATTCCTGGGAGCAGAAGCTGGAGGAGCTAAACCTCCCGGGGAGAAATCCAACAGAGAATGACGCTTAAAACAGACCTCAGCCACCAAGTTTCTCGCCCCGGGCAGCGGCCTCTCGTGAACATCCAAGACAAAACTGCTATTCACTAAGGAAATCTCGTTTTATTTAAAAAGGAAAAGAGAGAGCATTTTCATATCGTTATCTTGCTGGTCAGTTAAATGGCGAGGACACGGTACCGTGAATAAAGTCGCTGGGGTGGGGGGGCAGCAGGAACTCCACGAAGAGTCTTGGGAAACAGTTCAGTTTCTTGCTCTGACCCGGGGGTCGAGAAGGATGGAAGGAACAGCTAAAGCAATTAGTTTGCACAAAACAGAATGGCAGCGGCTTAAAGAGCAAAGCGCCAGATTCCGAAAAGTAAAGTTCGGGGAAACACAACCAAAGAGAGACAACAAAGGCTGCTTTTTACCTGCAATTCGTTTGTGTATCAATCGGATGAGCCGTTAAGGAGCCCCAAAATAATGTTAATTCCCACGATCCGTTCCATTTGGGATTTTAAAGGGGGAAAACAAATCACTTGTATCATGGGATTTTTTTTCCTCTAATCTTGAGTGCGAGAAAAAACAGCCACATCACCCGACAGTATTGCTCCTCACGCTTCCAGAAGCGTTTCTTGGCGGTTGCCTTCCAGCCTCCGGACAGATTCGAGAGGATGATGACCCCGTCACTTTGGGGCGCCGCCGTCGATTTGGTATTCCGAGCGCTGTTTGGGCGCCGACGACTCTCAGGCGAATTCTTCAGTTTCAGTTCGTCAATTGGAAAAGAAACTTGCCGCTGTTGCCCCTTGCCCCCTTTTGGAGCCCCAGGAATAGCACTTTACTCGCAACAAACTTTTGGGAACGAAGGGGGGCGGGTAGGGAGGAGGCAGCGGCCCTTTGCCTCTGAGTCACCTTGGGCTTGTGTCCGCGCCGCGTTCGGGTTGTGACTTTGTGACAAGTTCATGTCTGCCGGTGTTGTACGCGGTGTTCTCCATTAAAGCTTCTCTCTGGATATGCCGCGGCCCGTGTGAGGATGTTTCGCTTCTCGGGAGAGGAGGCGGCAGTCTGAGCGCCCACTGGGCGGTCAAGGGACTTTACAGATCCTCCCCCTCCCCTTTATTTCTTAACTTCAGAGCTTCATAGGGGTGAGTTCACTGGAGAGCCACGACCAGGGACAAGCGTCCTCCGTTGCTCCTTTTATCCGTTGGCGCGATTACCTCCTGGAATACCACCCATCCTTAGGCTGGTTTCCTGAGCCCCAGCCCACCTCCGTGCAGGGGACTGCATTGGCAAAAACCCGCAACAGGGAATTTTTGTTCCCACTTGAGGTTCGCTTCTATTCACCATCACCACCACCCAACAGCCTTCCCTTTCCTACGGGCCCGGAGGGCGGGCCACAACGGGGACTCCCGTACCCTTGGGTAGGTGCCCTGCGGCGCCCCCTTAAGTCTGGAAGGCAGACCCGGGCCGGGAAGTAGGTGCCAGGTCTCTGCCACTGCCACGGCGGCCGACCTTGACCAGGAGCGCAAGCCCCGCCACCGAAGCCTGGGGGACCTGTTGCGCGCCCGCTCGGGGAGCGCGTCCTCGGCAAGCAGGGCCTCGGGAGGCGGCGGCAGCCTGGGGTCCAGAGCCGCAGAGCGCTGGGCGGGCGAGAACCCCCGGCCCCGCGGTCCGCTCTCCCCGGAGAGGACCTGCAGGCTGCGGCGCCCGCGGAGCTGCGCGGGGAGCCGGCGAGGCGGCCCGGCCCGGTGCAGGGGACCCGGCTAGGGCCGGGGAAGCTACTTGCCGGCTCTCTGCTCTCCAACCTCGAACAGGGATCCATCTTGAGCCGACTTCCCTCTGCCCAGCCAGGCCCAACGAAAGCTTCCTCTAACCTTTCATCAGAAGGAAAAAAAGGGCCAACAAGATGACCTGCACACAGTAATGACACTGAGTGGAGGGAGGGAACGGGGGATTTTGGCTATATCTTAAAGTAGGTGTTTCCACACATCCATTATTTACAAGTCGCATCTCAGCGTGCAGCTTAGTTTTGTTCTCTCCTAGGAAGGTCTCAGTTTAGCTCACTAACTCCTTGAGAGCTGAAACTCCAGTGTCTCCCTTTCTTTCAACTTGAGACTCTGCAAGGTTTTCTGCAAGGTTTTCCTCTTCACTAGTCTGATGATGGTGAAAGAGAGAAAAGAAGGGGGGACATTGACATGGGGGGTCATAGATTTGGAGGGACTTTTGAGTCTGGCTTCTTTGTGAGATGGTGCCTAGAAGTCCTGGGGTCAGGACCCCTAGTGTAGGTAAGTCAATTGGCTGGAAGAAGGGGGACACAGGATCCCAGGGGTTTGTTCAAAAGAACACCCCTTCCTTCTGGTCCAGCTGCCCAAAAGGTGTGCTTTTTTAGCAGTGCCCAGGGCCCCACTTCCAGGAAAGGCGCACAGCCCAAAGTGTCCTTTAGCACCCAGAGAGCTGGCCTAAGTGGGTCTGTGGGCCGAGAAGAAAGGAGCCTGTGGGCCATAGCAGCAAGAAATGAGCAATTGACCCTCACAGTTTTCCTGGACCCTCTTAACGAATTCCCTTGAACCCCCTCCTACCTCTGTGTGGAAAACAAGGGTGTTTTGTATTTACTGGAAGGAAAGAGAAAAAGGAGAAAGGAAGGCCAAGTGAACTTAAAGATGATTCTACTCAAATTTTTATTCAGGAGGAGATCCAGGTACCCACAGGAAGCAATGCATGGCATTGACAGTGAAGAACCTGGGAATTCATGCAAATAAACAAGGGTGGGGGGAGCTTGCTGCCAAAACTCTGATCCCAAGGGAGGTTCCAATTAAAGCCCCAGACAGTAATACTATCCTGAAGACCCCTCTTAACTAAGATGGGATCTGCCGTCTGACCATATTGTGTGGGGCTTTATCCCCTTAAGCAACCACCACCCCATTCCCAAACCAGGAACCTGGCAGGATTAATCTTGGCAGACCTCTGAGATACCAGGACTGGGAGGACCCCGGGCCTGAGGCTCACTGCTCATCACCAGAATCAGATTTTCATACCCATGTGCCATAAAACATCCATTCTAAGACATTGGAACCAGATTCAGTGCTTATTTTAAACATGTTAGTAGGGGTCAAGCCATTAAAAAAAAAGTATTTTCATGTCCTGGTCATAATCAAAGTATATAGAGAACTACAAAAGGTAATAAGAATAATAAATTGATGGTAATATTTTAGTAAGCCTCTCAACTGAGTATGTGATCTCATCTGATCTCATAGTATTCTCTAGCAACAGGTTGAGATAGAGGGAAAGTAAATTCTAGATAGAAGTGAGATGCAAGTAGAGACACTTAAAAATGTATGACCATCTCAGTTCACATGTTTAATAAAATCACTCCTCATATGCTAAGTACTAGAGGAGAGAACGTGAACTTCAGGTTGCTTAGCCTGTATTCCACTTATCTCAATGCAGAGGACCCCGAGCAAGAAGGAAAGAAGCAATGAGAGAAGAGAAAGATTTCAGTGTAGATATCTTTACAATAAAGGTAAGAGGAAAACAACTTGGAATCATCCATTTGATTGTATTTCCTTGGGAAGCTGAGACAAGAGCTAAGGGCAGAGGGAGGACAAAGCTATTTTAGCTGTGGTCTCTAGGAGAACAGGCTCTCCTGCAGAGGCCAGAATAGGCACAGTTGGTATCTGGCACTTAGGAAGCCTGTCAGTCAATCTGGCTTGTGGTCAATTATCTCCTTAAGTAGACTGGCATTAGTCCAGCTAGGGAAGAGGGCTGGTAGCATCCAGAGGAATCAGAGCCAGTTAGCTGGCGGGGGTACTCTGAACTCTAAGCATCTTTGTATGGGGGGGTTGGAAGGCTGATCAACACATCTCCTCCTGGGATTCAAAGGTGACATTTGCCTGCTTGGCACTAGTACAGAAAGACTCCAGAAGAGTATGGAAACAGAATGTCTTCGGAGGAAACAAACAAACAAAAGCATTGATCCACAAAACCACCAATTCTCCTTAAATTCCATTCACTGACAAAATCACCATCTCTGATATGCACAAAATTATAGAGATCCTGGTAAATTGTGGTGGGATTTGGTTCCTCCACTGGACAAGAATTCCCGTTCTTCATCGTACCCGACTATGAAATGGGCAGAAAAGATGGTCTGGGGGGCATATTCAGGCTTGGATGACGTGGCAAGGATTTGAAGTGGTAGTAGTGTTAAGCGGACTATGGGGATACGATTCTGCGTGGGGGTGCAGGGGTGGGGTGGGGTTGGCATCAGAAATGGGAGAGTAAAGAAAGGGTTTCAAAAGTCAGTGATAACCTCTTTGTAGGTAAAAAGGCAGAGTGGGGATTCGAGTGGAGGTGGGAAGTCCTTGAATTCCAAAGGGCAAAACAGTTTCTTCAAGTCCAATGTTTTCATTTTGCTCATTTAAAGTATTTTCATTAACTTTATCTGTCAAAGCTGAAATGCTACCTTATACCCTTTAGGGGAGATTGAAGAGATCTGCCTGGGATTTCAGTTCAGTCTTAAACCATTGTTTAAATGGTATGAGTTTGGCAAAACTCCAGATGTACTCTGTCCCAAGCACTTTTCCCCCTTAACTATCCCCTGTGTATTTTAAGGAAAA